GAGAGAGGAGCGAGAGAGAGAGGAGCGAGAGAGAGAGGAGCGAGAGAGAGAGGAGCGAGAGAGAGAGGAGCGAGAGAGAGAGGAGCGAGAGAGAGAGGAGCGAGAGAGAGAGGAGCGAGAGAGAGAGGAGCGAGAGAGAGAGGAGCGAGAGAGAGAGGAGCGAGAGAGAGAGGAGCGAGAGAGAGAGGAGCGAGAGAGAGAGGAGCGAGAGAGAGAGGAGCGAGAGAGAGAGGAGCGAGAGAGAGAGGAGCGAGAGAGAGAGGAGCGAGAGAGAGAGGAGCGAGAGAGAGAGGAGCGAGAGAGAGAGGAGCGAGAGAGAGAGGAGCGAGAGAGAGAGGAGCGAGAGAGAGAGGAGCGAGAGAGAGAGGAGCGAGAGAGAGAGGAGCGAGAGAGAGAGGAGCGAGAGAGAGAGGAGCGAGAGAGAGAGGAGCGAGAGAGAGAGGAGCGAGAGAGAGAGGAGCGAGAGAGAGAGGAGCGAGAGAGAGAGGAGCGAGAGAGAGAGGAGCGAGAGAGAGAGGAGCGAGAGAGAGAGGAGCGAGAGAGAGAGGAGCGAGAGAGAGAGGAGCGAGAGAGAGAGGAGCGAGAGAGAGAGGAGCGAGAGAGAGAGGAGCGAGAGAGAGAGGAGCGAGAGAGAGAGGAGCGAGAGAGAGAGGAGCGAGAGAGAGAGGAGCGAGAGAGAGAGGAGCGAGAGAGAGAGGAGCGAGAGAGAGAGGAGCGAGAGAGAGAGGAGCGAGAGAGAGAGGAGCGAGAGAGAGAGGAGCGAGAGAGAGAGGAGCGAGAGAGAGAGGAGCGAGAGAGAGAGGAGCGAGAGAGAGAGGAGCGAGAGAGAGAGGAGCGAGAGAGAGAGGAGCGAGAGAGAGAGGAGCGAGAGAGAGAGGAGCGAGAGAGAGAGGAGCGAGAGAGAGAGGAGCGAGAGAGAGAGGAGCGAGAGAGAGAGGAGCGAGAGAGAGAGGAGCGAGAGAGAGAGGAGCGAGAGAGAGAGGAGCGAGAGAGAGAGGAGCGAGAGAGAGAGGAGCGAGAGAGAGAGGAGCGAGAGAGAGAGGAGCGAGAGAGAGAGGAGCGAGAGAGAGAGGAGCGAGAGAGAGAGAGAGCGAGAGAGAGAGAGAGAGAGAGAGTGAGAGAGAGTGAGAGAGAGAGAGAGAGAGAGAGAGAGCATGCCGCTTGTGGATTGATATGATTTTACTTCGAATATTTTTCTCATAGCTTGTCACATTGCCATTTCATCAAATCAATATGATTCGGGGGGAGTGGGGGCGGCAGCGCCCACCCAATTTGCACACTCGGCATCAAGACTTTTCCTTGGCGGATAGACTAGCACGTATCTGTATTGGTATTTGAAACACTCAATTTAGTATAAGCTGCAAGATGCAGTACTGCAATGAGCATTCTCGTCATGTGTTATTTTGTATTTCCGAGAACGTAAGAAAGCTGCCTAAAATTACATTAAATATGTGAAGTTTACATTGGTGATACCTCAGTGATCTTTTATCAAAGACAAATCTGTACTGCAAATCTCTTGAGTAGAAACGCCTTCCATGGAAGACGGGGAATTGAATACGCTTCTCAGAACTGATTTTCCAAATTTTGTTCTAATGATGTTTCATCCGACTCAACGCTATAATCCAGATCGACTGGTATATTGCAATACATAACATAAATGAAAGACTCCACGTTCATTGTTTACTCATCAGCAGATACTTGAAGAGACTCGGATAAGTTGAAAGAATAACTTCAAAACCAAACGAAATATGTTCAAAAGAATAGGAACGATTAAAATTAAGAATTAAAGTATTAATCAGAATTGCTGCAATGAGAGTACAATCAGAATCATCATAAAAAAATTACACCCGTCAATTAGTAAAACGTCAACAATTCAAATTGAAATAAAGTATGACGAAATTCACATAAGTGTGATGAAACAAAGCAAGCGGAAAGAACACTACAATTATTTTTTGGTGGGGACATCACACATAGAGACTGTTCTTACTTTGGCTAATTCAGGTGAGAAGGAGCTACCCCTTCCATCGAATTCAATGGTTCCGCTCAAAAGAATAGGCCACACGCGTCGATGAGCATTGGACCCTTCAACGGTCATTCGGAGACATTAACGTCATAATTAAGACATCCCCCCGCCTAATAAAATTCGTGGATTGACAGTAGAAGTGACAAGGTTATGGGCTCCCGATGCTACAGGATATCCATAAACTATTCCATTCAGAGCAGGACTTGAGTATGGAACTTCGAAAGAGGGTTTCATACAGCCATTTTCCACCATCACGTGTTACACGATACTTACTCCTCTCAGAGGGTGCAGGACAGAGCTAAATAGAACACAGAATATCACCTGACAACTTCGTATTTTCCTATAAATGCCATGTATAAAAATGACATATTTATAACTTTTTCACGTTCCCAATGACCAACGAATTCTCAAATTTATTGAAGGGGGACCACAGCCTGTTGGCTTACAAGGTTCAAAGGGTATATAAGGAAGGACCACAACCCTTCAAGTAGCAGTCCAGCGCCAGATCCAGTTCAGATTACTACTTCGACATTCCGTTCTTGCACTCGCATTCAGAGTATTCATACGTCATTTGACCGCCATTTTGTTGAGCCACTTGAAAGTCATACAGATATTCTTATATGACTCATCTTTGAAATTAAAGTCTTTCGAGACAGATTTTCAATAAATAGAAATTCTTTCATGACTTCTGATTAAAACTATCTCATCAATGGACTCGCTGTTTGAAGATGGCGGCGTGAGGTGGGCATGAGCCCAACGGGAAGAGAAAAATTCCTAATTTCGGGGTAAAAGAGGAAGTAATAATTGAAAGAAGTGGTTAAGGGGAGGCTATTATTAGTAGTGATAGTGAAAATGAAATGTTTTTCCGAAAAATCATGAGAAGTGGAGAGATAGAAGAGGAAAAAGTAGCAATTGGATAAGCAAAGTTAGGTTGAACAACATGACCACAAGGCAAAAGCGACACAGAACAGAGAGTCGAACAACGCAACAGAAATATATAGAAAGATAATCCAATAGAAGCGTAAGTAATCGGAGAGAAATAACGAGAGATGAAAGACGGAGGCAGAAGATATAAGGCAGAGTGTGAATTACAGAAAATTATCAACAATAAGTGACATAGTTGGTGGAAGGAAAACCAGATGCAGTGGCTAGGAAACGGACACGCAGAGAGGCGGCATTACGAAGGTAGTGGGAGAAGGATGCAGATATGGAAGAGAGACAGAAATGGAATAGAGGCTGAACACGCATACACAGAGGCTACGACCAGAAAGAAGAATTTACCTCCACTATAAATGAAGAGGAAAGTGAGAGCTAGAGGAAGTGATGGCTGTGATGGATAGTTCTGCCACGAGAATAAATGCAAAAATTTTTGAAGGATTTGGCAGTCATAAAAGCATTACTGGCGACAACTTTTGGTCAGTGAGGGAGGCTTGGAAACAGCGAGTGGAGTAGCGTGGAAGGGGCTAAGGAGAAGCAAAGGCACGAGAGTGACGTCGGAAGACATAGGCGATGCAGAGGGAGCCAAATCAGTGGCAGGATGGGACATCGAAAACGGACACGTCTGCAGCATTTGTCATTGTTGCCAATTCGCGAAAATTTTCTTAAATTTCGTCGCCATATCTTAAAAATGTTTCTTAATATATTATTCATTTATTAAGTGCTTTCTTACTCGTGAATCGCGGGGAGCGGAGTGACGATGGCATAGGTCCGCACTGTTTTCTGGAAATATCTGTTTGCCTTTAGGTATTCTGTATGTTGGCTACATTTAGGTTCATACCTAAAGCAATTTTTGTATTTTTTTCATTTATCTATTCATGTTATTATTGTGTTGAGAAGGAGAGGCTTGTGTAGGTGTAAAACAGTAATTGTAGCACCAATGAAATAAAATTCTATTCTATTCTATCTCATCAATCATACAATGTGGTGTAATTATTTTAATGTTGTATTATTTAAATAATCGAAATTTCAAAAAGTAAGAAAGTGTAATCTATCGACGACATTTCTCACGTACGTCATAAATTACATTTATTGTCAACTTAATTTAATCAGATAAAAAAAAATTGCTGAAATTTGAAAAATTTCAAACCTTGTTAATCCTTTCGAAATCATCTTTCCGTCCGTACTATTAACCGTAAAGTTCGACTAAAAACAACGAGCGAATAATGGGAAATTTATGCACATTTATGAAAAAAAATTTCATTAATTAATCGTCAATCGATTAAATTTCGAACCGCAATTTCAAGCGATTGTTTCTTGTAATTGTTCTCATTGAGATTAGACACTAAATTCTGGAGGTTATTCATAAAAAGTCAACACACTTTTTTGGGTCATTTTTGTTCATTACTAACCCACAGTCATTGTAGAGGTTTCGTCCTTTCCGACATAACACATCATTCTAGCTGCTATATTTAGAATATCGTTTTCCCGTGATGGCAAACGCCGAATACGCGATTTCCCTTTCATGAAACGAGAGAAACTTGACTTTACAAATATATAATTGATTCAACTTCATTTTTCCCTTTATTTTCATACAGATGTTTACTGATTATTACAAAATTTGTTTCATTGCGATCGAAAAAAAAAGAAATTACTTTTGCAATAACCCAATAGATTGATTACGGAAGGTGCCACATTCAGCTCCCACTATACGATTTCAGTACTGAATATCTACGAACAAATAATTCAGGAAGAGAAACATCCATGCAAAGACTTTACTGTCAAGTCAATATCACTATCGCTCTAGTACCAATAATTGGTGTGTGGAAAGGAGAAGTCTTCTGCAAACATAAATAGCATCGCCTGCGTCGCCAGGCGGAAATAAAATTTTCTGGTGAATATGAGTTTGCAGCGCGAACTGAAGGCGAGGGCTGCAATCATATACGCTAGAAAAGTTGTTTTTGGACGTTTGATGAACAATACTTATACGGCAAAAATTAAATTAAAAACTTCTATGCATGGCAATAGGGTGTAACTATACCTCGCCGAAGGCACCACGACCTATGACTTTGAGTGGTTCAAAATCTTCAACACCGAGCCTGGAACGCTTCAGGCGCAAAAACTCCGTCTCCTTCTGAGCATGTTGAAGCCTTTTCTCCTGTTTCTGCTGTTCAGAAAGACCCTCATCCTTCAATGATTCCTCGAGCTTAGCTAGCCGCTGCTTACGCTCAATATGTTGGGCTATCAAATTACTGTAGTAATTCTCAAGTGTTACCTGTCGACAATACCGAGCATTATGATGAGCACTATGTTTACTGGGTTGAAATTTTGCAGGGTGAAATATATAGATAGGACTGTTCAACAGAAGTTATGGATTTCTATGCATAATACATAGCTTTTATTGATCGTTTCTTACCATTTTATATCCGCCAGATACAAAACGGGTTTATAATTTGCTATGAAGTGAAAAAAAAGTCAGATGCAGCTGTATCCTATTTGATACAGCTGACAGATATTCCGTAGACGCGTCTTAGTACTTGTACTTAGTACGCTGAGAAATAAAATTTCTAATATCTGAAACATATTTTCTTGAGACAAGTAAATTATTTTCAATGGCTTAAATCTCGGAATCTGTGCACTTCACGGAACTCAAATAAATTTTCATTCATCACTATCGCGCCGCGTTACGTCATGAATATTTTGCATATTGTAATATTGGAAGTGCATAACGAAAAAATCATGAAAACAATAAAGACTCGAAGATTGACGATTCTTCTACGCGATTTACGTAAGTTTATTTGCGACAAAAACATACTTGAGTATAAGAATATTTTAAAGCATAAGGCCTTTCTCGGGTCATGTGAGTTAAAATGCTTGAGAGAATTAAGCGATTGAAGAAAATTTACTTGTCTCAAGAAAATATGTTTCAGATATTAGAAATTTTTTTTCTCAGTATAGTTCTGTGCTTGACGCGTAACTGGACGACCCTGGTTCGAATCCCGGGTAGGCGGCGCGGGAATTTTTTTTTCTAAATTCTAGTTCTCTTTGATTTTTTTTTAATGCTAACATCGATGCTTCTTGAAAACGTATTTCAATTTACAGCAGAGTTCCCTTCACTTTCCGCTTCCATAATTTGTCTTCTCTTCTCCTATGGGCTTGTTCTCCATCAAAAGAGTTCTCTCACTCCTCATACACTCTGCATCCTTGTTTTCAATGTCATGCACGGAGAATTGCGCAGTGTCTCAGTAACGGGATGGTTGCCACATGGTGACAAGCGTAGGTTATGTTGCTACTCTCCCACTACTACGACTCCCCCTACCCAACAGTCACCTTCCCTCTCCAATGCGCCCCACAGCGTCGGAGTGGGAGAAATTTCATTATTCGGATTTCATATGACATTCACTCGAGGACACCGCCCGAGCCGGGAAAAAAAGGGAACTCTACTGTATTCAACAGCTTCAACTTTCCTAGGAATAAAGAGAATGACAGGAATTTTTCATTTTTGATATACATACTTTAAAAAAATATTCATGATCAGTAGCGAAAACACTTGAGCCCAGTGGTAAGGGGTTTATGGAAAAACGAGTAATTCTGTACTTTCTCGAAGTGATAAATGAAGTGAATGCTATTTTCATGCTGCAGGTGTCTAGGTATATGAGACAAATACCAATTGCACTTATTGAAAGATCAAAAGGACTTGCACTGAGTACCAGATTAGTACTTATCAAAAGTAACAAAAATACTTTGGCCCGGTGGCTTGGCGCAGTGGGTAAATTCGTTATCTCACGTGCGAAAGGTTCTGAGTTCAAAACCCGGCCGGGTAGAATGGTGAGATCTCACGATTTAAAGTCTTGATCACCATCGCAGCATACCCTAATCGGAACGAAGCGATATAAAATAACGATTAAAAAAAAGAAAATACTTGGAACAAGTATCGATGTTACTCGAATTCAGTACTTGAGAAATTTATTGCGGAATTCAAGACCGCAACAACGGTCAAAATTTTGAAGTGCAAAATAATCTCCAACTACAACTGAATATTACGGTAAAAACTCAACTGTACTCGTCATTGACAGGACAATGAAGGGAATGATTTCTTAAGTCTTTTTTTTTCAAATGTCTCGACAATAAGTAAATTTAGAAGAGACCAGTAATGAGGATATTTTTTCTGTAACCCATGAAATGTCATGGTGCAGCGTCTCGCTTGATCTTTACGTAAGTTCAACCATGGCACACAGGTATCTGAGTCTCACATGCATACAACACGTCGCGCCGTACTTTTATAAAATTTGATTTGATTGCGAATACGAATTCAGTCTGGTTTTAATGGCCCAATACTCAATAAATCGAACAACTGACTTGCTGCAACTTTTGTACATACTTCTAGACGCAATTGAATAAATAACAATCAAGTTAAACGAATAATAAAGGACTGGATTGATTATTCTTCCCAATACAACTATCTGTGGTAACTACAATGGGGAAGTGAAAGTAGGTAGGATGGACGGGTTCCATCAGATGCGCCATAAGTCGTGGAAGGTTCTGGAATAGTAGCGCTACCATCGCGGTAGGTTCTAGAATGATGACGTCATCGATGAGTCATTCTGACTGATGACTCATCAAGTCAGGGGGTGGTGGGGGTACTTTCTAGAATTTTCTAGACGGATGACATCATCGATGAGTCATCTTCATCAACTCGGGGGCGTGGTGGGGGTACTTCCTGAGTCCTGTTGGGACTTGTATGGAATATGATACTAGTGGCGGTGCCACCGTCATGGAATTTTCTAGACGGATTACGTCATCGATGAGTCATCGACTCGCATGGGGGAGGAATCCCTCTAAGACCTGTTGGGACTTGTATGAAATATAATGACCTATTCATTATGATGGCTTCCGGATGGATGCCGCATCTCGATTCAGCTTTTTGCCGACGTTTCGCAAACATTTCAGTCTGCATCATCAGGGCTAGGTTGCTCCGATTCTGAAGCTCCCTGTTGTAAGAAAGGTCCTTATATCTCCCCTGACCCCAGGAAGGGGTAGGTAGAGTGGTGGGGGGTATCCCAGCCAATCAAGATGTTTTTAATTGATCAGCTGGTCAATTAAAAAAAAACCGGGAGGACGGTGTGCCAAATTGGATTGGTTTGGTATCCTCGATCCTTATTGAGATTATTCGGATGTTTTTGGATCTCGAGACCTTCGCGATGTTTTCTAGCGAAATATCCGTGTGAGCTGGCAAGTATTTCTGTCTTGTCATATTGGATAGAGTGTCCAGTGTCCATCCAATGTTCCGCCAGTGCAGATTGCGAGATATGGCCATTTTTTGCACACCGTTGGTGTTCTTTGATCCGTGTACTGATCCTCCTCCCGGTTTCACCAATGTACACTTTTCAACAAGAGCAAGGAATTTCGTACACCCCTGGGAGACTGAGTGGTGGTCTCCGATCCTTAGTACTGGGGAGCATTTGTCCAATTTTCATTGGTGGTTTGAAAGGTTTGCAAAGGCTCATTAACCACGTGTGGGTATGTGAATAAACTGTTTGGTGATTCGATTATCTGGAGAACTCACAAACAGTCCTATGTGGCTCTCTCTACATGTCAAGTCGAGCATGTTGTGATGAGTGAGGCGAGTCAAGAGATGTTGTCGATATAAAACTCCTTGAAACTGATTTTTCCACCCCAGATGCCAATGACCTTGTGGTGTGATAATAAGGCGGCGACGTGTAGTGCTGAGATGAGTGGGGGAAATAAATTAAGACATATAGTTGTCAAAGCTCATCATATCAAGGAATGTGTCAAGCTCAATCTGATCAAAGTAAACTGGATAAGTTCCAGGAATCAATTGGCTGACGTATTCAGCAAACCTCTGGCGTTTCAACTACGCAAACGCCAAGTTGACAAAATAATGAATGTAAATATGTAAGAATTGTTTTTTTGTCTGTTTAGGAAAAAAGAGTATTTAAATTGAAGCGAGACCGAGGTCAGTTATGGCGGGAGGACTCGGAAGCTGTCGGGAGTATTGGAAAGATGGCGCCAGCTCCCGGTCCCACTAGAATTGCATTTATGGTTTAATACATGTATATATGCTATGGTGAGGAGGGATCTTGCGCATGCGCCGCTCTCGTCTCTAACAGGTTGTGACTCGAGAGAGTTCACTCTTCATTCTACACTCTACACGACAAGACGCGAGACGTGCTTTAACCAATAAACCAGTGTTCTAATAATAAAACCCGTGTACCATTTATTGTGTCCACACCCGCCATCCAACAAGTAGGCATATCTGAGAATTAAAACGTTTTATGTGAATATCAGGGGAAATTTTTTTTTTAAATAAGTGAAAATTGCATTTCACTCCACTTGAAATTTGTTGAAATTTAAGCAATAGCTGTAACAGATTTCTCAATGTTGTAAATTTAAATTCAATTTAAGGTCAAATTGTTCATAGAATACCTGAATGAGCTTGAAAATTCGGAATAATTGGGTTATCCATATTAGATTATCATTGATATTTCAATGACATCAAGAATTCCCGAACTGGTTGCAGAAATTGATCATTACATCCAACTGAATTTTCAGTGGATTGAAAATTCAGGAAAATGATTGTTCGAATTTTCAAAATATTTAATCATTTTCATTCAGGGCATGTGGACCTGAAAATTGCAATTCCATTGAGTACTTCAGAATTCAACTAATTTTTCAATAACAAAGTTATATAAAAATTTCGTGTGAATAAGTGATTGATGAAAATGTCAAAAAATGACTTCTGTACAACCGATTGTCTTTTTTACAGTTCTATCTCTCCACTGAGGCCTTCGATAAAATTATAACAGAAAAATTTTATTTACACATACTCGAATGGATTTGAAACATCTCATTTGAAGAAACTATCCAAAAGCTCTCAGGGAAATTCATGAAAAATTCGAAATTTTAAACTATCATCATAAAAATCAAATCAACCAATATAGCTATCGTAATCATCTTTTAATTTTGACTCAATGCCATTAAAACAAATATTTTAAGCTTTGATTAAATTAATTTGAAGCATGATGTTCCAATATATCCCTGGAATACTGATTAAAAAAAAAAAATTTTGCGAATTTTCGAGTAAATCAAAATAACGATTATTGCTATCGCCTTCATCTTCGAACTCGGTCAATGGATCATCTAAACAAATTTTTTAAGCCATCATTCAATCCATTCAGAACATCTTTTTTAGTTATCATAGGACAACCGATTTTCTAAAAAAAATTCAAAAATTGAAAAAACTTATAGATGAAT